AGATCACATCCTTGGCTGCTGCAAGAAGATTGCACAGACAGACTACAAGCAGAGGTATAACACCATTGCTCAGATGATTCATTGGAACCTGTGCCACAAGTACCATCTGGCTGCAACAAAGAACTCCTCTGGGACTTCTGAATTCAGACAGACTGAGTTTTGGAGCATAATACTCCTGACCTCATGATCATATTAAAAACAAAGTATGGATTGTCGATGTTGCAATCCCAGGTGACAGCAGGATCGAAGAGAAACAACTGGAAAAGCTGACACGATATGAGGATCGAACTGCAAAGACTCTGGCACAATCCAGTAAAGGTGGTCCCAGTGGTGATTGGCACACTGGGTGAAGTGCCTAAAGACCTTGGCCTGCACTTAAACACAATTGACATTAACAAAATTACCATCTGCAAGCTGCAGAAGGCCACCTTACTGGGATCTGCACGCATTATTTGCTGATACATCACATAGTGTCCTAGGCACTTGGGAAGTGTCCGACGTGTGATCCAATACAACAGCCAGCAAAGTGATCTTGTCTGCTATGGACTCATCTTGTTGAGTTTCTAATAATAATAATAATTATTATTATTATTATTATTTATTTGACCAGTCATATGACCATTTCAAAATACAACATGAGTAAAAGACAAGGCAAAAAAGGAGAGAACAGCAGCTGGCTTTCTATTTCCAGTCAGAATTTTATTTTCCTGGTTTTTCTTTCAGGAAATGTGCTCTTTTCTTGATAGCTTTCAGAATCAAAAGGCTTACTCTGATTATGGTGGATCTTTCCTGTCCTTGCAAGAGGAATGTCAGAAGATCATTTCTGACAGGGGCAGGAGTGAGAGAAGGGCATCCCAGAAGATCTTATAGCCCATGCAGGTTCATAGAGGAAGATGTGATCGCCAAGATAGGTAGGACCCAAACCGTTTAGGGCTCTGTAGGTAATAGCCTGTACCATGAATTAAGACCAGAAGCTTATTGGCAGCCAGTGGGGCTGTTTTAATAGGGGGGGGGGGGAATGACCACTCCCTGTAATTTGCTCCAGTTAACAGCCTGGCCACCGACCTTTGTACCAACTGCAATTTCTGGACCATCTTCAAAGGCAGCCCCACATAGAGTGCTTTTACAGTAATCCAATCTGGAAGTAACTAAGGCATGGACCACCATGGCCAAGTCAGACATCTCAAGGTATAGTCGCAGCTGGCGCACAAGCTTTAATTGTGCAAAACTCCTCCTGGCCACTACCAGGAGGACCTTAATTGTTTTTTATATATTAATTGTTTTCATATTTACTTGATTTTATTAATCTCAGCTGACTTGCATGGCATGTAACCTCAAGCAAGCATGAATGTCAATTCAATAACTTGGAGATTGTCTAATGTTTTTATACTGTTTTATATTGTTTTTATTTAATCTGTATATTTATGCTTTTGTTGTTGGCACCATGCTGTGCCTGTTGTTAGCCACCCTGAGTCCTTCTGCGAGGGTTGAGATAGGATGGGATATAAATGTCTGAAATAAATAAACAAATAAATAAATAAATAAATAAATAAACAGTTTTGAATTTGTGCCTCCACATTGTGGAAGTAATGCAGTTCAAAACTATTTTAATTGCTCAGTTTTTTATTTTTATTTATTTACTTTATTTATACCCTGCCTTTCTCCCCATGGGGACTCAATGCTATGGAATCCAAGGAGTTGTAGTTTTACAAGGTACTTAGCCTTCTTTGCCAAAGAGTGCTAGTGCCTCAGCAAGCTACAAATCACAGGATTCCAGAGCACCGAGTAGTGGCAGTTAAAGCAGTGTCAAACTGCATTCGTTCTACAGTTTAGATGCACCCTGATGCTCCCGGAATTTTATTCAGCCTCATGTTTTGAACCTGGGATTGACTTTTCATGATGATGTCTTTTAAGGATGCAGTAATTAGTTTTGTCTGTCATCTTGAAAACTTGTAACATATATACCACTAAGGAGGAGAATGAAGTGCTAGAAATTATTGTGACCCCTCACCCAGCCCACCAGCCACAAGATCTTCTCAGGACAACTCACCAATCCTTTGCTGGAAGAGGAACAAGGACTTCTCTGCTAAACTGGTGAGGTAGTTTGAATATTAAGTGCTTCATCTGGAACACTGTTGCTAAATACATACTTATCTTTGATTCACTAAATAATTACTTTTTGCACAATGCAAGAATGAAAAATAGCAGTTACAAAAAGGAAGAGGGGAGAAATCTGATTGAATCCTTTGAGCCTACATGTAGTTTAGATCAAGATATCACTTCTAACAGCTGTGTCCCCTTAACGTAACACCAGCTCAGAGGGGCATGAGCCACTTTATGAATCATAAACTAAATCATGTCTTGCAATATCACATATGTTCTCTGGAGATCTGTCAGTATGCTGTGTGGAAGGATGAAAGAATACAACTGGAGATTAGTAGGAATGTTAATGCTATTCAGCAAGCTGAACATGACCTAAAATATTAATGGAACCAACAGACAGTTCAAGCATGACTGGTAATGCTATTCTCAGTTAAGAATTGTCTCTGTCAAAACACTGCTTCATACTTTACACTGATATCTAGGACCACTGGTATTTGCCACAATAAAGTATGAAGGGGAAACTCATATCTTCTCCAAACATGCATCGTACATACATGAGGGAGACATGGCAAGTTCTTATTCATACATATCTCCATGGAAAACCCTGACTGTTTAGGATTGGATCCAACCTCTTCCTCAAATTTAGCATGTTGATATGGCAAACAACAATATTCTATAAGCTCTATATTTGATTTAATATTAATTTAAAACATTTATTTATCTTCTTCTGAGCCACCAGGGTCCTTGAGGTGGTGCACAATGGGTTTTTAAAAACCCTGGAAATATAACATAATTTTAAAAAATTAAAATATTATAAAACTCTTCTTTAAATCAATTCCCCCATGGTTTTGGAAGGGAGTTCCAAAACCACGGGGGCACCACCGAGAAGGCCCTCTCTCTTTTTCCCACTAACTGCGCTTGTGATGGTGGTGGGACCGAGAGAACTTTTAGTGATGTAGAATATCCAGTACTGAATGTAAATCCTGGAATTTACAAAATATAATATTTTACAGGATTTAGGAGACAAATATTATTCAGTTGCAACAATGGGTCAAATGGCAAGTGGATGTGATCACTCTTGGATGGAATTGCTCCTCTAATTTTGAAGTGATATGTCATTAGATAGTCAGACAGACAGATAAATATGCAAGAATCCTGCTGTTGACACTAAAGAAGTGGGTTGTAGTCCACAAAAAGTATGCTGCCGCAAGTTGGTTGGTCTTAAAATGTTCCACATGATTGCATTCTCCTTCCTCTCTGCTTCTTCAAGTTCTACTTATTCAGGTGCATCATCAACTTACTTAAGCTTGCTTGTTAAGCTAATCACTTATAATTCACAGATGCAAAAACAAGTTTAGTGTTCTATTCCCCTATGCATCCCAAATATTTTAAGTGCATGGCAAACCAACCAATCAATCTCAATCTCTTTTCATCTCTCTCTCCCTGTCTCTTTCCCAAAGGGAGGAGGGGCAAGAAGAATGGAGGGCAGAAAAAGTTATTTTTTGCACATTATAATTAGAGTAATCTGTAACAATTACTGTAGCTGCCTGTGTGCCATTCTCCCTTGCTTAGCTGTGGAGTGTTCTTAATTGCAATCTGAACAGAGAGTCACTGCTTTAGAAGCCCACGTTCTGTTCTTGAACAACTTAATTACAGATCATAAAGTCACCTGGAAGAAGATATCAACCTTTGGTGCTCACAGGAAGCAACATCATTTTCTTTGTCTGTAGATTTGGCAGTTTTGGTAATAAAGATACTTTGGCTCTACTGCCAAATCTCTAAAGTTGGAGGAACCAAGATGAAAACTTGAATGGGAAGGAACATTTAAAATATTTGTGTAAACCGAAATACAACCTGAGCTATTTATTATCTATTTATTTCAAGTATTGGTACCCCGCCCTTCTCAACCCCCAGAAGGGGACACAGAGCGGCTTACAGCCGGCAACGATTCAGTGACCCCACATTCAACATAATAAAATACAATAATTACATACAGGTAGAAACATTAAATCAATTCAAATTAAAATCTATTTTAAAATATTACTGGCTTGTTGGCCTTATTTAAACCAAATTCTGTGACCAGAGACTCACTCAGAAACTTGCCCATAGTCCAATTTCCATAGCGTTGTCATCATTGTCATTGTCAGCATGTTGCCTGAAAGCCTGGTCCCACAACCACGTTTTCAACTTCTTTCTGAAGGAAAGGAGGCATGTAGATTACCTAATTTCACTGGGGAGCAAGTTCCACGGGGGGGGGGGCTACCACCAAGAAGGCCCTGTCCTTCGTCCCTGCCAAGCGCATTTGCAACAGAGGCGGGGTCAAGAGCAGGGCCTCTCCAGAAGATCTTAAACTCCGAGGTGGGATGTAGAGGGAGATATGTTCAGACAAGTATGCTGGGCCAGAACCGTATAGGGCTTTATAGGTCAAGACCAGCACTTTGAATTGTGCTCAGAACTGGATTGGCATTCACTGGAGCTGACATAACATGGGGGTGGTATGCTCCCTATATGACGCTCCAGTCAGTAATCTGGCTGTCGCCCATTGGACTAGTTGGAGTTTCCAAACAGTCTTCAAAGGCAACCCCATGTAGAGCGTGTTGCAGTAACAAGAGCGTGGACCACCATGGCCAGATCAGGCTTCCCAAGGTACGGGTGCTAGAAATGGTTTGGGCAAATCTCAAGGCCCAAGGTTAATTGGGCCCATTCAGATAAATTCTGATATTTCCAGAGATGAAGAAGGCTTCTTTAGAAAGCAACCAGATCTGAAGATGGACCAGAAATGAAATTTCATTAACCTGGATTGAAGATATGGAAAAGCAAGAGGATAAGAAAAGTATATTGTTTAATATTTTATTTTCTGTTAATAATTTGTTTTATTGTAGCTATCCAGCCCTCTGTAGCATTACTTCTGGCTTCTTTTGTCTCTCTGCATGGTGGGCATCAGGTTTAATGGAAGGAACATCTAATACCAATGGAGATTCTTCACATGAGTTGGTATTCTCATTAATTCACAAGAAGAGTAGAGGCTGTCTGCATCAGCTTATCATGCTCCATGCTCTGGTTCAATCTCCTGCCAATAGAATTGAAGTCTGAAGAAAGAAACCAACATATGTTGAGCAAGCATGAACATTAATGCCTGGATGGAGCTTAGGTTTTAGCAGGTAGTAGGGAGCCAAGAGAGTTGTTTCCTTCATTGCATCTTTTTAATAACACCCCTTTTCAAAGGTTTGGGGGATCTTTGACAGATAAATACATTGGAGGGACCAATTGTTTATCAAGGCAGGCACCAAGCTGCTTCTTCACTCTATAGTTGATAGTCCATCAACTAGAGCAGTACATGTGTGCTTTCTATAACACAGATTTATGCTACATTTTTCAACAGTTATTATATTAGGCCTGTTCGGGTTTATGAAGTATTGGTTCAATTGACTAAGGGGGCTAATGGGTGGTGCCATTAGAAATGTGATAAAATAGTTAATCACATGCTTAATTGTTATAGTGGTATTATTTGGAAATCTTAATATATGCCTTGGATGTGGGAAAACTATGTATAAAACCCATGCTACACAGTCAACCAAAAATCTTAAGGCAACAAGTTTTTAATTATAACTGGAATTAGTTAATTAAAATAGAGTTGGACTAGATTTCAGTTCTTTGACCTGAAAAGGAGGAATATGTAGGAGAGGGTAAAATGCCTTGGTATGTACTAGCTCTGTGTTGTTTGATTGTCCTGGTGCAAGTTAAATTTCCCCAAAAAGAACAAGTTACCACTGTGATTGTTTCATTGGATATGCCTGTTGTTTACCTTACAAGAGCCTGTAGGACCAAATGGTATCTAGAATGTTTGATTTCCATTGAATTGTCTACATTGTGATTTTTTAAAAAGTTCCACGTGCTTTGCAGTGGCAGCCTTAACAAACTATATTTGAATATAAGAGGTTGTGGGTCAGGGCTCCTATTTTCTCGCAAGTCTGAAATGCATTTCTTTCCCTTAAAAATGTTAAACCTTGATTCACTGGTCTAATAATTTCTGCAAGGGTTTTTCCTTTAAAAAGTTAAAACCTTGATTTATTGGTTTTCTAATTTCTCCTAGAGTTACATGGACGAAAAGGTTCTCTTCAACTCTTGTCTTAAGGGATGACAATGTGTATACCATTATGAATTCTTTGATAACGTCTCATTTAAATTCTTATAGTGAGGTGTCCATGGAATTTGCCCTTCAAAATCACCTGATTCAAAATGAATTCATTTGAGTAGTGCAATAAAGATTAACATAAGCTTTCTATTCCCTCCTCTAGATAAGACCAAGAAACCGATTGACAATTTCAGTATGCAGCACAAGCAAGTGAATGGTAGAAGAAGGGGGTAAACTGAGAAAAGGATTTCTCAAATTGTCAACAAGAACCAATTCCTATCAACAAGGAGAAATTTTACATGCAGCTGTGCTTCCACCCAACATTGATCTGTGTTGGATGAATAATGTCCTACTCAGTTTTAAAGAGGAATGCAAACATTATGTGATGTTTGCATATGCAAGGAGAAAAAGAACAAAGCAAAAAGCACACAATTTTGGAAAGGAAATGCAACATGCAAGCAGGTTTCAGCAGACAAAGACTGATCGAATCCCTTAGTGGAATTAGCAAAAATATGCATGTGAATATATTCAAATTCTGAGTAATGATGCATTTTGCCAAGAACACCTGTTCTGAAATGTTAGGGCCATAATTGGATTAGCAAACAAACGTGCATTGACTCCTCCATGATGCCATTTTGGATACATAAGGATCCACACTTGGAGAATGAATTTACATATTAGTTTATACAAAATTCAGGATCCTGCATGGGGCATTTTGCATATTTCACAGTGACAAATACATGTTACGCCCAAGCATGAACTCAACAGGACTCTTTCATATCTGTATTTATATGATTGCACCCATTATTTGCCACATTCGCTCTATATCTTCAATTGTGCATTAATTATATCTCTGACTTACTGGTTTCAATCCTTCTGATGCTTACGTAGTTTTAACAGCAGTTAAAACTAATAATAAAATCCAATAAAATTTCAAAACAACAGCAATGCAATAAAAATGTTCAGGCCGGAGGTAAAGCATTGGATAAAATTATGAAATATGATCACCAAGCAAGCTCTCCTGGCATCAACTTTGACTTTTTTTAGGTTTCAGGTTAGGATGTTTCTCTTCTCTTCAGTAGAGGATTAGTTCAATAGCTAAACCCTCTTACAATGGATGCAGGATAGTCTTATACATTGTTTTATTAAGATCATTATTTTTTTTCTAAATTGTACATTTTTAATGAACATCTTAATATATATTGATGTTTGTATTTTTACCCCTTTGTAAATCACATTGGGACTAAATTTGGTATGGGAAATGATTCATACCTTTAATAAAACTAAATTAAGCTGTTTTATTCAGCATAGTTTTAAAAATCTGATGGATGAAGGTTCTCAAAAAAGCAACAAGGATTTGCAAAAGTTCTCCTTGCTTTTAACTGCTTGCTAAAAGCCATGATTTGAAAGATAGAAGAAGGGTAGATAATAGGAATCTGCTTTATATGAATTCTGGCTGCTGGTAATGTTGGCAAAGATGATAATACCCAGTGAAGTAGAAGGACTAATTAAAAGTGGTAGAATGATTTAATCAATGAGGCAAAGACATGAGGAGGGCAGTGGATGAGGAAGTCCCTCTTGGAAGTTTCTCATTTATAAGGTGATCATAATTTGAAATGTACTTGATGGCAAAGAAGAAAAGCAATTTTTATTTTATTCTGACAACAATTATAGGAGGAAGTTATACCAAGAAGTGACAACTGGTTATTGGCTGAAGAAAGTCAACAGATTCAAACTCTGTCTACTGGCAGAACATTTGATCTCCAAAATGGTGGAAAGTTTGATTTCCACCATACTTGTGCATAACACACACACACACACACACATATACTAGGATCATTTTTATAAGCTATGAAAAGGAAACATGTAATTCTATAGTTGCCCTGTATTCTAGTTTTTGAAAGACATTCTTTCATTTAAGGAGCTGTCAGAAGACAGTCTTTTATTTGATAGTGTCCTCTGTTCCATCCAAAAGTAAAGAACTGTAAGAAAGGAAACCATGAGTTTTGAAGTTACTCTTCAATTATTAGCACCGAGACAACAAACTGCCACATAGATCACAGTCTACCTCACTTCACATGCATTTACCTTTGAAATACAGTTATCATTTTGCATGCTCACCTTGACATATGCAAATATTATGCAAATATCAAGGGAATCCTTCTTCTATTTTCTTATTGCAAAACATTTTCCATTTCTACTGGTTATGTTGACATGGTACTTTGTATATGTGAAAGGTCAATTAAAACATCCTAGGTGGTAACATTCCAAAGCCCAGGCACAATGGTAGGGATGTGATTTTTAACAAAATTTCACTCAAAGTTACGAATGATTAGTTTCAACAATTTTCTTCCCACAGTTTAAAAAAGTCTTCATAAACTACACAGTGTGCAAAGGCTACTCACAATTCAAGGGTTATTCTGCACAAAATCACATGCGGTTATTTTTAAATAGAAATATAATGTTATGCTTGGAAAATAATATTTCAGTGCATACATATTAATACATTTGCATAATTTTTGTATAATTAGATTTATAAATTTGCAGTCTTATGTGATCCAGGAAAGTCTATGGTATTAGCAATGCTTCTGGGTAGTCTGTCTACCTACAGATTTACAAAAACTATCTAAAACTATGCCAACCTTTTTTGATATACACACGGCTAGAACAGTCTAGATTTTAGTTTTGTATTGATAAGCTATGCTGGAGCCAGTTTGAACTTGATAGTTTCTTTCACTATCAGCTTGACCATGCCTTACTCATTATTGGTCCATGACTTCATTTATTCAAATGTATACAAATATTTGATTGTATTCTAAAGGAGGCCAGAGGGGGATTGGCCGAGTGGGTGAAGGTGGTGGTTAATGCCTCCCTTCGGGAGGGCNCCCCCCCCCCCCCCCCCGCTCCCGGAAGATCTATTTTGTTAATGACTCTGCAATAAATATATTGTTTTTATTATTTAAAAAAATCTTTTTTGAACTTTGCAAGTTTGCTATCAGAGATTGGGAGCAGATCAGTAGCATCGTCACTCCACAAAGAGTGAAGCTTTAGTAACCCTTTAATAAATCGTCTCTCCTTTCCTTAACTTTCTGTGTAATTTGTATCTTTCCATGTACTGTATCTATTTCTTATATAAAAACTGTATAAACTTCTTTTAAAAATGTAACAAGATGTAGCCTAAAGACATAGTGGATGATCTGCGTCGGGAGCTCGACAGGGGGAGTGTGTCCCTGTGGGTGCTGCTCGACCTCTCAGCGGCCTTCGATACCGTCGACCATGGTATCCTTCTGGGACGCCTCGCGGGGATGGGTCTTGGAGGTACTGTTCTGCAGTGGCTCCGCTCATTCCTCGAGGGTCGGTCTCAGAAGGTGTTACTGGGAGACTCCTGTTCAACCCCACAACCTTTGTCTTGTGGGGTTCCTCAGGGTTCAATACTGTCTCCCATGTTGTTTAACATCTACATGAAGCCGCTGGGCGAGATAATCCGGAGTTTCGGAGTGCGATGTCATCTGTACGCAGATGATGTCCAACTCTGTCACTCTCCTTTCCACCTGCTACTAAGGAGGCTGTCGAGGTCCTGAACCGGTGCTTGGCCGCTGTGACGGTCTGG